GGAGGAGGAGAAGACAGATAGGAACTGTATGGAGGAGGTTGGGTAGAGTAAGGGAGAGCAGGCAGGTGGTGCATTCTGGGAGTAGGAGCGAATGAAGATGCCAAAGAGGTCACTGGGCCCAGAAAGGACTCATTCATCCACAGAGAGGTGGAAGGAAAGGATCTGCATTCTGAAGCGAGACAAGAAGCATCAACATCAGTGTTTCTCCAGAACTCGTTGTCTTCTTTTGTTGTTTGCTCAGCTGTCATGTGACATGAGCATGACCACGCCCCACTACTGTTTCATAAGAGAAAGTTTTCTTTCTAAAAACTAAAATTACAAATGAACAACATAGTTTTTAATTTTCAGTGGCCTTGCTGTGTCATTCTTGCTGTGACATTTTATGTCTTACCTGATGAAGCTGTGCTGCTACTGATGCTGCTGGTGGGCCTAAAAACTGCAGCCTTCATCTCCTTCTGCCTCTGACCTGAGATCAGAAGAAATAATGTTAAAACCTTCCCGGATCACCTCAGAATTGATCCAATCATACTGTTTTCACTCGTATTTACTAACGTCTGGGCAGCCGTGGTCCGTCCACGGTAATCTTGATGGCCCTGTGTAGGGTGGCGATCTGAGGAGGTGATGTCAGCACGTTTATCGTCAAGGTGAAGCTCTTACCTTTAAAACGATAATAAAACATATGTACACATGAAACTAGTTGAGTATACTTTATATACATTTGCCTACTTTGTTTTTATTTACTTAACTGAATCAAATTTTTTGTCTTATTCACTGTTTTGCTTTGACTGCTCAAAACTTTTCACTTGTTAATGTACTTTATCCAGCGTTATTTCTATTATATTTAAATGTATTTTTAATACTCTTAATTGTATTTAGTGTGTTCTTTATTTCTTTTAAATCTTATGGCTTTTTAATTTATTTAAATGTGCTCATGATTACACATGATTTGCTTTCTTTTACTCAGTTTTGCTCTGATGTTATTGATTAAGAAACTAATTAATTAACTAGAGTTAATTAATTCTGGCTCCATAGCTTGATTATTGATCTAACTTTACAGGTATTCAAATATTTAAAAGAAACATATAACAACAACTAAATGTTTTAACTGTGTGATTGCAGGGCACTGCAATTGGAAATAGTGTAAGCAGTGTAGACAGAGGTGGTAAAGATGGCAGGCTGCAGTCTTTCCTCTTGTTTATTGACAAACAAGTATGAATAACTTGTAACAGTGCTGCATGTATCTGTTTGTATACCTCTGCCGCTGCGGCCGATGAAGCGGAGGTCGTTGAAGTGGGCACAGCCTTGCTTCATGGTGGCTGTGGCATTACGTAGCTCGGCGCTAACATTTTCATCATTGCCAGCCATCACTGTCACAGCCACGCCATCAGGCACATCGTTCCCCAGGGCAACAACCTGAGAAATGAAAAAACATTGTAACAGGTCTTTTATCTTTGTGAACAGAGGATTTTTACTCTTTCAGTATGAATAAACTGTATTTTGGTTTAAAAATACCACCAGTGTATATGTAGATTACTCACAGTAAAGGCTCTTGGTAGTGTCTTATTACACCTCCAGTGCTGAGGCAGGCTGCTGCAGAGGAAATTTGGGCTGTCGGTCGGGACCAGTCCTCTGGGTGGAGCTGTACTGCACTGGTGGAGACACCTCAGCTCCTGTTCATCCAGTTGACGAGTGCTGGCTGATGGTGACAGGCGGCACTTCACCACAGGATCTTAACGATAGGAATAAAGAAGTCCATTTTTATCCCATTTTGTCTTTCATTTTTTGTTCTTTTCTCTGAGATTACATGCATTTTAGACTTGAATATATTTTTATTTCCTGAAGTCAGTCTTAGATTTAGACTGTATTAAGAGTCATATTAGATGGCAATTTAAATAAAGGGTTAGCTATTGTAGCTACTGCCTCAATCTAAAGCACTCCAACACCAGTTATATTTGTATACATAAATGTGTATTGTAAAATCATTACTAATTATATACATTTATTTACTTTTTAATTTTGGACCGTTTGGGCCTCCATACAGGTGAGATTGCCGCAGGAGAGCGCTCAAAGATATACAGCATATTTTGCTAAAGCTGTGTCGCTATGGTGGATATGTTAAAATTCTGAGTACTGATTAGAGTATAAACACTTCCCCTTTAAGCTGTGTATCTTCTTCAACTGTAATCTCAGCTGCTAACCTTGTATTTAACAGCTCATAGCTGGAGTGTAGCGCCTTTCGACCAGGACATGTAGAAAAC